ACCCCAGGGGCCCGCAGGAACCCCAGGGGCCCGCAGAAACCCCAGGGGGGGGGGGTTCCACCTGCAGAGGAAACCTAGCATCCCACAAATACCAAGCGCCATGGTGTGTACTGAAGATTGCATCGCTGTTCTTAACCGGAGCAAACACGAATACATCAATTAGTGTCGTATAAACAGTATGCTTCTCCCTGGGGTATTGGTATCTTCTTGTTGTTCCTGCTGAAGGCTTTCATCATCCAGGCTTCCGCTTCTCTCTCTCTCTCTCTCTCTCTCTCTCTCTCTCTCTCTCTCTCTCTCTCTCACCTTTCTATACTCCCCCTCGTTCTTTTATCCTTTGTGTCTCCCCGTGGTCTCGTCTCTTGTTCTCTATCTCTTCTCCGTGTGCCTGCCTCACTCACCCCGTGTGTGCTGCCAGCCTCTCTGGTGTGTGAGGGAGATAAGGCGGCGCCCTGGAAGCTCCCTGATCCCACATCCAAAACCCAGATATTCCTACCCTCGCTTTGGACACTCCATTCGCCCTTCCTCTCACCATCTTTATCCTTTCCCCCCCCCCCCTCTTGTTATTATTAGTGTGTGTGTGTGTGTGTGTGTGTGTGTGTGTGTGTGTGTGTGTGTGTGTGTGTGTGTGTGTGTGTGTGTGTGTGTGTGTGTGTGTGTGTGTGTGTGTGCCCGATAATTCGAGGAACCTGGAAATGGAAAATACGCAAATGGCATATACTCGCATACACGATTTCCAATGGTGTATGCTGCCGCTCTTCTCTTGCGTCTACTGCCGCTGGGCCTCTGGGGCTTGAGCAAGCTGTGTCATTCTCCTCTCGCGGAAAATGTTTGGAGAACGGTGGTGCCATCTAGCTAGCCCAGGGGGAAGGGAATGGAAAAGATGAAAACATGTACAGGAAGGCAAAGGGTGGAGAGTAAGTAAAGTGGGCGGAGAGGGAAATTTAACGTGTGGGGGGGGGGGGGGGACGAGGAGGGGGAGAAAGGGGGTTAATGAAGCAGATGCCAGGAAGAGGACAGATGTTACGCCCCAAAACGGTAGATATACCATACCAGTACACTAGTCTACCCTTGCGTCCCGTTTTCTCTCACTCTACCTCCAAAACAAAACCTTAATTTAAATTAAAGTAGAGAAATGGAGGCGAAGAAATGAAGTAAATATGACAAAATGTATAATTCTTCCATTGCCAATGGCAAGAGCTTATAGTTAATCAGGGAATAACTGTAAAATATAAGTAATAGTAATAATAATAATTATAATAATCCCCACACCAGAAGCTCGAGTGCATAGGGGGGGAATTGAGTAAAACCATGGTTTGTGTCTCTGAGAGGCTGCACGATCCTAATAAGATCAGTAGAACTTCCGGTTGCAATTCTTTTACTCTTTCAGAGGCAGCATTATTCAGTCCTCAATCTACCAATCTGGTGTCTATTCCAGAGCAGCCCCACACACCCTATTCCTACCTATTCCAGCCCAGCCCAGCCCTTCTCTCCAGTAATGAGGGCTAAACCCTTTTGAGATCTTGGGTGAAATTTTCATTCGTGAAAGAAATTCATTTGTAGCGTTATCTATTCACTAATTACGTTTTTTAAGGCAGTTATACGCAGTTGTAAGGTAACGTTTGTTGTGTTTTGTTAGTGGTGGTGTGATGGTTGTTAGTAGTGTAGTTAGTGGTGGTGGTCGGTGGTTAGTCTTAGTGGGTGATTGTGTCAGTGGTGGTGGATGAGTCAGTGGTGTCCTCCTCTCTCTCACCATTGTTAGGCCGGCAGGTGTGGCCCGCTGGTGTGGCCTGCAGGTGTGGCCCGCTGGTGTGGCCTGCAGGTGTGGCCCGCTGGTGTGGCCTGCAGGTGTGGCCCGCTGGTGTGGCCCGGCTGGTGTGGCCCGGCTGGTGTGGCCGACATACCATGGACCATCTCCAGTTACTGGAGGCATGAGCGTGACGCCTTATCTACGGACAAGCCTTTGCCAGCCTCCCCTCTGTTATCCATGTTCCTTTTCTTTTGCTCGTCAGTGTGTGTCAGTTTGTGTGTGTGTGTGTGTGTGTGTGTGTGTGTGTGTGTGTGTGTGTGTGTGTGTGTGTGTGTGTGTGTGTGTGTGTGTGTGTGTGTGTGTTTACCATTTGTGCCTGCAGGATCGAGCTGTAAGCTCTTGGTCCCTGCCTTTCTATCCGTCAGTTGCCTCTTCCGACCACATCTACATGTATATAGTGATGTGGTGGAGGCAGACTCCATACACAGTTTCAAATATAGATTTTATAAGAACCCAATAGGCTCCAGAATCTCTAAACCAGTTGATTGAGAGTTGAGAGGCGGGACCAATGAGCCAGAGCTCAACCCCACCCCCCCGCAAGAGCAACTAGATGAGTATATCCTCCAGGATACAGCACGTAGCAGCTGTCTAACTTCCGGGTACGTGCTGACAGCCAGGTGAACAGGATAATCAAAATGCCCATTTGTTTCCGCCTCGACCGGGAATTGAACCCGGGCTCTTAGGACCATAACCCCCGAGCCTCGTTTGAGTGTTGTTAGGGGAGGGGAGGGGGGGGACTTGAGTGTGTGGGGGTGAGTGAGGTGTGTGGGGGTGAGTGAGTGAGCGTGGGGGAGCTGAGTACAGGATGTTGTCACTACCGCTACAGATGAGCCTTGTGTCCGCCTGAACGACCAGTTTGTTTACCCTTCACCACTAACTCTCCGTCCTACCCCCAGTGGTCCTCCTCCTCCTGCCCCAACACCTCCACTCACATTTCCTGGGCCGTACCTGGAGACGGTTCCCGGAGTGTCTTCTGCTCGCCGGCCCGAGGCCAGGCTCCACCTGCAAGAGCTTGGTCCAACAAGGTGTTGCTTGGAGCGGCCCGCAGACCCATATATCCACCTCAGCCCGGTTAGTCCGGCACTTCTTGCAAGAACTGATCTAATTGCTTCTTGAAGAAGCCCGCCCTTTGTCCCGGCAACCTGGTTGATACCTGGTTGATACCTGGTTGATGGGGTTCTGGGAGTTCTTCTACTCCCCAAGCCCGGCCCGAGGCCAGGCTTGACTTGTGAGAGTTTGGTCCACCAGGCTGTTGCTTGGAGCGGCCAGCAGGCCCACATACCCACCACAGCCCGGTTGGTCCGGCACTCCTTGGAGGAATAAATCTAGTTTCCTCTTGAAAATGTCCACGGTTGTTCCGGCAATATTTCTTATGCTTGCTGGAAGGACGTTGAACAACCGCGGACCTCTGATGTTTATACAGTGTTCTCTGATTGTGCCTATGGCACAATCAGAGAATAATGGCAATATTTCTAATGGTTACTGTGAGAGTATTGCTTAGCTGTGGGTCTCAGTGGGTCAGTGGCTCATGTTAAGTCAGTGGGTCAGTGGCATCAATTTCAAAGTCTTCTGTGCTCGTGTTATATCAGTTATATTGTCAGGGTATATTTAGTATATTTACAGCCTGGTTGACCAGTCCAGCAACCAGGAGGCCTGGTCGACGACCGGGCCGCGGGGACGCTAAGCCCCGGAAGCACCTCAAGGTAAGGGTTTGTACCTGCTTGATGGGGTTCTGGGAGTTCTTCTACTCCCCCCAAGCCCGGCCCGAGGCCAGGCTTGTACATCGTTCATAACAAAAGCTGTCCAGATCTTCGACTTTCATGTTGTTGATTGGGGTGCTAAATATAGCCTCATACTGGTCTCTTTTTAAATTTTTCACTCATTTCTTTGTCATCTGTTGTGTATGAATCTTCCCTTTACAAGTATGAATCCAATACTGGTGGAGGTTTTTGATTTTGACAGCATGTGAAAAAAAATATTTAGGATTTTTCATTATGTTCTATAGCTTCCTGTTCCTATTTTAATTTCCAGAGACATGTATGATCGCTGTGGTGTCTCCAGTGCTTCTTCCATCAGACATGTATGATCGCTGTGGTGTCTCTAGTGCTTCTTCCATCAGACATGTATGATCGCTGTGGTGTCTCTAGTGCTTCTTCCATCAGACATGTATGATCGCTGTGGTGTCTCTAGTGCTTCTTCCATCAGACATGTATGATCGCTGTGGTGTCTCCAGTGCTTCTTCCATCAGACATGTATGATCGCTGTGGTGTCTCCAGTGCTTCTTCCATCAGACATGTATGATCGCTGTGGTGTCTCTAGTGCTTATTCCATCAGACATGTATGATCGCTGTGGTGTCTCCAGTGCTTCTTCCATCAGACATGTATGATCGCTGTGGTGTCTCCAGTGCTTCTTCCATCAGACATGTATGATCGCTGTGGTGTCTCTAGTGCTTCTTCCATCAGACATGTATGATCGCTGTGGTGTCTCTAGTGCTTATTCCATCAGACATGTATGATCGCTGTGGTGTCTCCAGTGCTTCTTCCATCAGACATGTATGATCGCTGTGGTGTCTCTAGTGCTTCTTCCATCAGACATGTATGATCGCTGTGGTGTCTCTAGTGCTTCTTCCATCAGACATGTATGATCGCTGTGGTATCTCCAGTGCTTCTTCCATCAGACATGTATGATCGCTGTGGTGTCTCCAGTGCTTCTTCCATCAGACATGTATGATCGCTGTGGTGTCTCCAGTGCTTCTTCCATCAGACATGTATGATCGCTGTGGTGTCTCCAGTGCTTCTTCCATCAGACATGTATGATCGCTGTGGTGTCTCCAGTGCTTCTTCCATCAGACATGTATGATCGCTGTGGTGTCTCCAGTGCTTCTTCCATCAGACATGTATGATCGCTGTGGTGTCTCCAGTGCTTCTTCCATCAGACATGTATGATCGCTGTGGTGTCTCTAGTGCTTCTTCCATCAGACATGTATGATCGCTGTGGTGTCTCCAGTGCTTCTTCCATCAGACATGTATGATCGCTGTGGTGTCTCCAGTGCTTCTTCCATCAGACATGTATGATCGCTGTGGTGTCTCCAGTGCTTCTTCCATCAGACATGTATGATCGCTGTGGTGTCTCCAGTGCTTCTTCCATCTCCATGTTTAGATTTATTTGTCTCTTGTTCAAGTCGTGTTTTGCTTATATATTTTTGTGATTTTTCCCTGCTGTTGTAGAGTCGTTGTAGAGTTTCCCTTCTGTTGTAGAGTCGTTGTAGAGTTTCCCTTCTGTTGTAGAGTCGTTGTAGAGTTTCCCTTCTGTTGTAGAGTCGTTGTAGAGTTTCCCTGCTGTTGTAGAGTCGTTGTAGAGTTTCCCTGCTGTTGTAGAGTCGTTGTAGAGTTTCCCTGCTGTTGTAGAGTCGTTGTAGAGTTTCCCTTCTGTTGTAGAGTCGTTGTAGAGTTTCCCTTCTGTTGTAGAGTCGTTGTAGAGTTTCCCTGCTGTTGTAGAGTCGTTGTAGAGTTTCCCTTCTGTTGTAGAGTCGTTGTAGAGTTTCCCTTCTGTTGTAGAGTCGTTGTAGAGTTTCCCTTCTGATGTAGAGTCGTTGTAGAGTTTCCCTGCTGTTGTAGAGTCGTTGTAGAGTTTCCCTGCTGTTGTAGAGTCGTTGTAGAGTTTACCTTCTGTTGTAGAGTCGTTGTAGAGTTTCCCTTCTGTTGTAGAGTCGTTGTAGAGTTTCCCTTCTGTTGTAGAGTCGTTGTAGAGTTTCCCTTCTGTTGTAGAGTCGTTGTAGAGTTTCCCTTCTGTTGTAGAGTTTCCCTGCTGTTGTAGAGTCGTTGTAGAGTTTCCCTTCTGTTGTAGAGTCGTTGTAGAGTTTCCCTTCTGATGTAGAGTCGTTGTAGAGTTTCCCTGCTGTTGTAGAGTCGTTGTAGAGTTTCCCTGCTGTTGTAGAGTCGTTGTAGAGTTTACCTTCTGTTGTAGAGTCGTTGTAGAGTTTCCCTTCTGTTGTAGAGTCGTTGTAGAGTTTCCCTTCTGTTGTAGAGTCGTTGTAGAGTTTCCCTTCTGTTGTAGAGTCGTTGTAGAGTTTCCCTTCTGTTGTAGAGTTTCCCTGCTGTTGTAGAGTCGTTGTAGAGTTTCCCTTCTGTTGTAGAGTCGTTGTAGAGTTTCCCTGCTGTTGTAGAGTCGTTGTAGAGTTTCCCTTCTGTTGTAGAGTCGTTGTAGAGTTTCCCTTCTGTTGTAGAGTCGTTGTAGAGTTTCCCTGCTGTTGTAGAGTTGTTGTAGAGTTTCCCTTCTGTTGTAGAGTCGTTGTAGAGTTTCCCTGCTGTTGTAGAGTCGTTGTAGAGTTTCCCTTCTGTTGTAGAGTCGTTGTAGAGTTTCCCTGCTGTTGTAGAGTCGTTGTAGAGTTTCCCTTCTGTTGTAGAGTCGTTGTAGAGTTTCCCTGCTGTTGTAGAGTCGTTGTAGAGTTTCCCTTCTGTTGTAGAGTCGTTGTAGAGTTTCCCTGCTGTTGTAGAGTCGTTGTAGAGTTTCCCTTCTGTTGTAGAGTCGTTGTAGAGTTTCCCTTCTGTTGTAGAGTCGTTGTAGAGTTTCCCTTCTGTTGTAGAGTCGTTGTAGAGTTTCCCTGCTGTTGTAGAGTCGTTGTAGAGTTTCCCTTCTGTTGTAGAGTCGTTGTAGAGTTTCCCTGCTGTTGTAGAGTCGTTGTAGAGTTTCCCTTCTGTTGTAGAGTCGTTGTAGAGTTTCCCTTCTGTTGTAGAGTCGTTGTAGTTTCCCTTCTGTTGTAGAGTCGTTGTAGAGTTTCCCTTCTGTTGTAGAGTCGTTGTAGAGTTTCCCTTCAGTTGTAGAGTCGTTGTAGAGTTTCCCTTCTCTTGTAGAGTCGTTGTAGAGTTTCCCTTCTGTTGTAGAGTTTCCCTTCTGTTGTAGAGTCGTTGTAGAGTTTCCCTGCTGTTGTAGAGTTTCCCTGCTGTTGTAGAGTCGTCTAGTTCTCTTTCTAGAGTGGTCGTCTTTCTGACCCTCGGCAACAGGGACAT